CCACCCATATCCACACACCTCACCCGCATCCACATATCCCACCCATAGCCACACCGCACACCGTTTAAAAATAAAATATAAGTCTTTGTTGTAAATGTTTCATATAGAAACAAAAATCCTTGCAGATAACAAATTTGTTTGTGAGGAAATATTTAAACGAGTCATTTATTCCGCTGCACTCGTCGACTGATCTAAGGCTGGCTCGACATGGTTGGCAGGCACTAAGTAGCGATCGTAAGCTTTTTCGGTGCTCTGATACGTCATAATATATTCGAAATACTCTTTTTGTCGATCATCCGTATGATGTTTGCATGATTCTTCGCATATTGTCAGAATTTTTTCTTCGCTGAGTTCATGCGCATAACCGTGCACTACCGCCTGAGCGATATCTCGAAATTTGAGGGCGTAATGAATACCCCATGCAGCTAGATAGAACGAAAGCATGTGATCACGCGTAATCCATCGCCATATACTTTTTATAGTTGCTCCCTGCTCGGCTTCGATCCACCGTTGTTGTTCATATTGTGCTTGTGTAAGACTTCCTGTTGGCAAATCAAAAAGAATCGCGATCTTTCTACAAAGATTCTCATCTCGCTTTTTAGCCGTTCCTTTCGCGTATATGCCTTCCGATTCCTGCTCAATATAGGTTTGCGCAGCTAAAATACGCTGGTTGAGAGAGCCCGCAACACTCTTGAGAACAGCTGCGCCTGACACATCGTCTAGAATATGTACCATAGACTTGATTGCTTCGCTATCCAGCGACAAACCCAAAGGGGTACCGTCGGTAATATGCGTAATCTTCGCATTTTTCTCCGAAAGTTGATTTAAAATCTTTGAGAATATGTTGTCGTCTAGTGGATTAGCTAGCGCTTTCACGACGTCGGCTTTGTTACACTCGAAACAGTAACAAATACCTGGACACAGTAATTTGATCTGATGAGATCTATCGAACGGATCGTTGGTTGTATCAGCTGCTGGGCAACTGGTCAACGGTAGTTGGGGATCAGGTCGAGCTGACACAGTGAAGACACCTCGACTAAGTGAGTAACCGCGCAACTCATACCACGAGTTTTCGACACGAATCTGGTCAATTTTCTTTGACAGAAGTAACTCGCGTGATCTATATCGCTCCATTTGAGTGATACGTCGCTCTGATTCATTAAAACGATACATGGTTTCGGGCTGGTTCACAAAATACATTTCATAGTATACAGCCAATTCAGCACGGTAGTTTAGAAGTATTCTTTCTTTTTAAGGTTTTAGAAAATCTTTGCTGAAAATCCAAGTATTTACATTCTAAAAGGATAATTGAAGAAAAATGAAGAATTTCGAAAGAAATTGCAGATAAAGATTTCTTGACTAGTTGTTAATTTTCATCTCAAGCTTTTTCAGTGAGCTATTCGATTCGTTTGTTAATATAATCATTTTCTTCTCCCATCTATAAGGTTGATATATTCCCAACGAATCGAAAAATGAACTTGAAACAATGATCAGCGACAGACTCTTTTTTCAGACTCCGAGAGATCCTCTTTTAACGATGCCTCGCGCTCTCCCCTTTCTGGCACTTTTGGAAAACGGCTCATCAGAAAATTTGAAAGTTTCGGTAGAAATAGATCTAGTATTGAAGATCAAAAGTTGTGTTAGACTCGAATTTCCATAACGCTTCTTTCTATGAGATATTGAGTTCAGAAGGGTGAACAAATGACCCAAATTCTTGTCCACATTTCTCCGAGAAACTACGTTCGATCCTGGTGAAGCTTTTTTTATAGATACTCGACACTGTTATGAGTGTCTACTGTTTTATTTTCTTTAAAAAACAACCAAAATACTGAGAGCACCCTAAAAAAAAGTATTTGTAAAAAATGCTTCAGCTCGATCGGACGTAGTATAGCGGAAAACCGGGGCGATTCTGCACTTTGTATGCGAAAAAACTGACTTTGATAAAAACGCAAAACATCCTCTTTTTGATGCTTCGAATTTTTCATTCTTTTACATATAGTTATCAACTATTGCACTTGCACAACTATTAGGAGGATACATCATTGACGCACACACACATTGGGCAACGAAATAAGCTCTTTACTTGTAGTGGAGCTGATTCGCTACGCCAAAGACCTAATGAACGTGATCTTTTAGACCGGAGTTGTCTACAGTCGAATTTTTCCAGGATGTAAATAACAGTGAAAGCGTTTCGCTGAGAGGGCATTCGATAGAGGGCACTTTGTATTTTTAGAGACGAAAAATTCGAAATCGAAAAAAATGAATTTTCGGGATCGGAAAAAGGAGATAGTGTAGCCTTAATCATATTGGATATTTTTGCTGACTTTGAAAAATCTGGCAACCGTATTCAAACTAAATACATTCTAAATCTAATGCTTCCGGAATGGCTTTTGCAGTCAAGCTGAACAAGAGTGTGTTGAAGATTGCACTGAAGTAGTACATGTTTACAACGATTTGCTGGACAAAAAGTAGCTGTAGCCATCTATCTTGAGAAGCTTTCATGAGTCGCTCTTCATCTGATATCCATATTCAGTTATTTACGAATATATAGCCCATCATTGCCATCGCAAACCAAGAAGGAGATGCAATAGACAATGATAGAGTAACGAAATCAACGTCCAGCAAGAATTCACCCACTCTTTTCGCGTACTAAGATATCATTTGAAACATCAAAAGCTGATTTAAAACCGCAATGTTCTTGTATGGTAAAAAGGTTACATCGAAAGAGCCTACTCATTCGGACATATTTTTCGAATGATTTCATCTCGAATTTATGGCAGATCAGAGTGAGTGACTCAATCAATTTTACAATATCGTTGTCACGCTCTTCGTACGCTCTGACTACGCCTACAAATAAATGAACATTGTCTGGGCGATTTTTCAAAGCCTGTTCAATGAATTCAACATAGGCAGAGTCATTTTCTTCTCGTTTCTTCCCACGCACATCGAGACAACACAAGTGAGTGCCTTCAATTTCTTGTACCTCTTCTGATGATCCCGCGCTGCCATCGGAGCGAATATTCAACTTCTTCCACTGTTCTGGATTGATCTTTGGTGTCACACCGAGGATGGTAGCAATACAACTGCTTTTACCCACCCCTGAATCACCGATGAATAGCAACTTTGGTTTTCTATGTGACTGTTTGTATTCATCTTGGCTCTGTCGGTACTTTCTCAGCATATCTAAGATATCATTTCGTGCAATGTATGACCCTTGGTTGGCATTAAGTTGGGATTTTTTTGGTTTCAAATTGGTAGCAGCCATGGCTATAGACGAAAGACAGAAAAACTAATTTATGCGCCAATATTTTTATAAGGAGATGCATTTCTTCCAACAAATGACACATTGTTGGAGTCCGCGGATTTTGTTGGGTTTTTATCTATACTACAATAAGTGCGTCATATTTCAATTACTCACAATGCATTGCGAAAGATAGTCTTCGACTTCTCGTTTTTTCCTTTTTTGTAACAGACTAGTCACTCTGAGCGTTCTTTGTCT